GGCATGGCAGGGTCACAACTCCCCGAGGTGACAACGACTACCCACCCCTACTGTAACTTAATGTAAAAGAGTTTACTGTACTGTATTAGGTAAGAATGAACAAAATGAAAATTCTCATGAGAATCTTTCTGTTAAGGAGTCTAAAACTGTTTGGTGACAGGTTAAGCAGCTTTATGAATCCATATAATATACTGCACAGCATCTCCTTGCCAACTGAGCCAGTGTCAAATCTAGCCACTGATACCCAACACAGGCATAAATAGGCCTTCAAATGATTAGCTCTAAAATTTTCCTGACGATAAGGCACTCCATTAAAGAACAAAGGAGGGAACCAAGTTACTCACCACACCCTTGGATATCCTATTTCAAGTGACTGTGGGCTAAGCCCAGTTTGAGGGGATTTTGGCCAGTACACTGCCACTATACCTGGTAGTTATTGCTTCAAAAAAGGGAGATTGGCTGTTATAGTTTATCTTCCAGAGGCAGGTCTAAAAAGTCAGCTGTGTCTACCTACTAGACAACACACACACACACTGCACCAACTTGATTTCAGAGTTAAGTTTTCAGCTGATTATACACACCCAAGGAAGCAAAAAGGGTGTCCGAGCAAGTTAGGCTTGGCTTACTGAGTTAAGGCTAACTTTTTGTTAAATTTATGGGTTGTGGAAAAGTCTTAAACAATGTTCTGCCAATTTCACTATCAGGCCTATAGTATTGAAGAGTGTTGACCCTGCACTCTGGCAACTATCCTCTGTCCACTAGGGAAACGTGTCATCATGATCCATCACTGTAAAAGATCCCCCACACTCCATAAATTGAAAATGTGTGCACACAAAAAACATTTAACTTGCAAAACGAAGAAAAAAATGGAATCAAAGACATCTTAAATTACTCACTGTATAAATACTGAATGTGGATGTCCTGGTGGTGGCACAAATAATGTAAAGATCAAAACTCTTGAATCCCTACTGATGGCTGCCTAGGGTACAGTACTGAGATGTCCTTTAACCTTTGAAATAAGATTTTATTGCCCTAATGAACCTGAAGCCTCACTGACTTTTAAGGTAACCATTGTTTGACCCTGGTGGTGAGTGTGGAGATGCTCTGGTACAGTACATAAATTTTCATCCATCCATACACCAATACAGTATAACCTGCAGCTGGAGAATTCAAGTGAGGGGAGGGGAGAGAGAGCAGAGAAAGGGAGAGAGAGAGCAGAGTTGAGATATGCATGTGCAAGTAGAAAAAGTCATTGTTCCTACTAAATGTCTAATTAGGTAAAAAAAAAATTGAAATGGTTATTTTTTCCAATTCTAATGCAGTAAGAACAGTAGTACACCGGAGTCCATCAACTATAATCTTTGCACACACATTGTTCTGGCCTCTAATACTGTCAACAATTCTATTAGCATTATATAATTTTCTACTATCAATACATATAAATATCTGTTCCTGTACATACACAGCTTGTTTAGATCTAGTGTGCATCTAACACAGACACTAGCTCTTCTCTCTATCACATACCACAGTACAAGAAGAAAATACTGGAAGTCAAACTAGTGAACCATACCCCAACACTCACAATTTTAAAATATATTAACAAAGTTCTTCTGCCTCATTCGGATCAATTCTAGATTAATAAATATAATCTTATAAAAATTTGTATTATTATCATTTTTTTTTAGTTATCAGGAGAGGACGTCTTAGAAAAGAATGTGGTAACCAGTGTCTGTTTGAGGCTTAATACTCAAAGCAATTTAATATGTTATCTACAGAAGATTATACTGTTATCATAGTGAGTTGTGTGGAAGATAATGCAAAAACAAACAAAATAAGAAAGATTTAAGGACCCCATAGTAGATTCTTCCATATCACAACCCGTCCACTTTTCAAAATACTTTGTAGATGTATAACAATCCTCCAGATTGATGTACAACAACACACTCTCAGTACTGTATAATGTTATCAGGACGGAGGTTATTTTAACATAAGGCTGGTGATGTATAATTATCAGGAAATATTCTCCCATTTCCATATCAAAGTCACACCTACAAACACAGAATTTCAGCACATTAGAATTTAAAGACAGTTGGTTGTATGCTGACAAAGAAAAAAACAGGGTAAAAGGGACAACTTTCTTTCTGGGATTTCATCAAGAAGGACTTTTTCCCTTTGTCCTTTGTGACAAAACATCAGGGGTAAAGTTGTCTCTTTGACCCTGCATTTCCTTTGGTACCATACAATCATTTGTCCAAATGAATACTACTCAATCTAAAGACAGTCTCATCACAGATAATCTAATTCTCCAATGGGTTTTATTGAATGACAAACAACAAGAAATAATGTACTGAATAACATAAAGATTTACCAAAAAACAGGTACAAAAAAATTCTGGAGGAAATAAAAAGTAACAGTTTATCCACTGTAGCACTAATTTCACATTCTTATTGAAGGTATTTCCTTAACATCTGTATAATTTTTTGCAGCAGCAGCTAACTTAAGGAAGTTATCAAGATAATGATTAACAGATTGTTTTTGGATTGCAAATAGGGAATAACTAATAAATTATGAGCTAGTAAACAAATTCTAGCTAGAAATCTAAATGCCATCAACAGCATAAAAAAAAATTGAAGCACAGCAGTATGAAAAATTACTCATTTACTGTATGATCTTATGTACCTACAATGACATGTCTTATGTATTGGCAGAATTTAAGGGTTAGGTTTGACACTTGTCTACCCAGAAGTCATTTGAGAATTACACTGTACTGTATATGTGAATTGATCATTTGCTGCAACCTAAAGTAATGGTTAGCCAGTGTGATGGAGGAGTCGTCTGACACTAAGGTAAGCAGCTTGCCAGTTATGGGTATGGGTGTTATGCTGGCATTAACCTCTACACCAGTGGTGGGGAAACTGTGGCCCCTGGGTCATTTTTGGTCCACCGAGTGTCTCAGGTTGGCCTGTGACTACAGTACAGGTACAGTGATCCCTCAGTTAACGAGTGCCTCGGTTAACGAAATTTCGGTTAACATATTACCTTCCACAAGATTCTTCACTTCGGTTAACGAGCATTCCCTCGATTAACGAATTCCTTACGAGCGCCCCTCAACATGTTTTCGCTTGCACACTAGCTGTCATATTAGTCCGCCAATACAGTAATCGGTTCTAGGGCTTAAATTCCTTACTATTTTAGTAAATATCAAGAAGTTTGTACTATTCAATAATTTTAAGTCTTATATTAAAATCTTTAGTCATTTTAACAATTATTTAACATAATTTAAGTACTACAGGGAAACTAGTCTTTGGCAAGCCAAACAGCCTGTCAACACACCATACAGGCGTCAGTCTCTGTGTCTTTTCAGTGAAGGTAACATCTTGCTTCAGACTCTCTTCAACATAAACGCTTTTTTCTGTGTTTCCAGTCAAATTATTGGTCATTTTGAAATTTACTTTACATATTGACATTATATAATGCAGCGCAGTGTTGATTTAAAGAAAATAATCTTGAATTACACCAAGTGAGCTAAAATTTTATGGGTGAAATGGCGCAATGGGGTGACTTCTCTTTCAACCCAATGCCTTCTCTTCTCCCTTCTCCTCCACCCCCATTCTAATTCCCATCATCATCATCCAGGAGCATTCTACATATACACCTCAAAGTAAGTGTACTTTACTACCTTTTTTGTTGACTTGAGGCAATTTTCGGTGAGCTGGAACCAATTACCCAAAAACCCATTGAAACAATGGTTTCGGTTAACGAATTTTTCGGTTAACGAGCAACCTTCTAGAACGAATTGTGCTCATTAACCGAGGGACCACTGTATATTCTTATGCTTTTAAATATATAGTACTGAACAGTACTGTACAATATAAACTTTGTTATGTATTTTATGAATAGTATAATAATTCCACAGTCTACAATTTTCTTATATTTTTGTATATCTTGCAACAACTTTAAACTTTGCATTTTTTTCTAATTTACTCAACTGTATAACATTAGTTTTCTACATTAATACTAGTCTTGTACTGTATATTCATTAACACCTAGTTTGCTTAGGTCTATATCTAAGCACAGTACAGCACCTTGTTTACTGTATACTGTACTACTGTAAAGGAACAGAATGAAACCTCAAGTCTGGGACCCTTGGGACCAACACCAAACTGGTTTTGAGGATTTTCCAGCTTCCTGGGTCCTAGGTCATCCATCTGGTACCAAGGCCTACCAGTAGGCTACATCAAGCTTGGAAGGAAGGACTACTGTACATCGTACTAGAATAAGATAGCTTACTTACCTTAGTATACTAATGGTACATTTAAGCTCTCGTATAGTAAAAACTTAAGCTCGAGTTAACAAATTTAACCTAATCCAGATAAGAAAATTTAATCTAACCCTGGAAGAAATTTAACCAAACTAAGAAAATAAATTTAATCTAATCCAGGAAAGAAATTTACCTAACCAAAGAAAGAATTTTAACTCAAGGAATAAAATGTCTAGTTTTCAAGATTCTTTGGCTTTCTGAGATCTGTAATATTTATGATGCTGTACTTATTTGCCCTGCTATTTAGTCTTACACAATATACTGTACAATACATTAAGCACCTCATAGCTGTTATGTACTAAACTAGATGCATCAGCAGCTCTATGAAAACCAACCATGGCTGACTGATAGACAAACCTGTGCTTATGTAGTACAGCACACACAAGTCTTTGATCATCTGCTCAACTACCTCTCGTATTCTTAATCCCTTGTGTATGATGTCGCCTCTGAGCTGAATGAAATTGTATGATGTTAGCTAAATAAAATATTAAAAGTGGTGTCTCCATAGTGAAGAGGTTAAATCACTTGCTTCATATTACTAATCTCTGGTTGTAAGTGTGACTGATTTATGTCCAAACTTACCTCTAAAATAGGTGGATTAGTTACACATCAAGTAAGAAACAGGGACATGGTCTCAACACTGTTAGCTTGTATTAAGGGATATTCAAAACAACACATCCAATAATTTATACAAGAATTTTTACCCAGTAGTAAATTTTACATAGAAAAAGAGATAGATAGAAGGATGGAAACAATATGTGAGTTTTAGTACATAAACTCTTAACTAGGAAACATGCACAGGCTAGCCTTAGGTCTTAATCACACTAGATATAAGAAAACCATCTCCACAATTTCAAAGGATTACATTCCATAATTATTTTAATGGAAATAGTGATAGTCAACCAGGATCAGCTTCACTCCCTCTATTTATGGTATTTATAGGAAAAAACAAAAGCTAATCAATACAGTACCTGAAGTTTATATCTTTCTTCAGCACCTATGCTTTCAACACCATCGCCACACACCACCATTTCACACCTTGTACGGAACTAATATATTCGTTTAACACCTATAAGTTGCACAATGATTCAAAACTTACAACTTGGACACTTACTCTACATCTATTATTGTACATTTAAACAGTAACTTCAAGTTGTTCATTCACCCAATACCTATAGCAATGTACTGTTCCTTGTGTGTTTGGTCATTATATTTTCTTTTATATGCAAGCAGTCTAATATCCTACTTATGTGTGGTAGTACAGTACTCTTATGTATGTCACACAAACTATCTTATGGTTATTTTAGGCTTTATCAAATACTAATGGAAAAATACCCTGTTCTTATTTCAGGCTCATTCATATCGTGAACAGTATTCCAGATTTTTATTTATTTATTTTTTATAAATTCCATCCATCCATCCATTCTACACTCAGTGACTTGCAGGCTGAGGTCAGGGATGTGACCCCCTTAAGGTATGCACAGCTATTTAAATTGTGATATTACTAACATTCAGCATTTTTGTTTAATAACGGTACTGAACACTAAAAATGTCAATCAGGGGTTTTTAATTGTGGGATAAGCACCTCTGGCAGGTATGGATTAATTAAAATGTTGAGAGTCAAAATGCAGAACTGAGGTGTTCGTAAAATTCATCTAGAAAAATACTAGCGGGTTAATTTTGTATAAACACGGTACAGTACAGTACTTCATTTAGAGAGCTGGACAACTGTACAACACTACTGTACAGTACCATCATCTATGGTGATGTTGTTCTTGCCCTGGTTGACTGGACACTGTTCATCAGTAATAAAACCTTAAAATAATTAGAAAGAGTCAATCAACATCAGGTAAAAAGAAGTGTTTCAAGAATAACAGAAAATAATTTGTCAGATATTATTTGAAGACACAGTTTACAAGAGGAAACTACACAACAAGACATTGTTAGCACAGAAGTATGGGAATGAACCATTATCTGTCAGCTTCAAATGGGCATCTGTACTAAACCTTAACTTTACGGCTGCCACACAGCTTCAAGAGACCATTATCTCTTTATTTCACTATGGCTGTGTCCTGTGTTGCCAATACTATGACTCAAGTGGTTGTCTATTTATTCACACAATCTAAGAACTTTTAGAGCACTTCTCATGAGATTAATATCACCCTAGACATGTACAGTAGCTAAAACAACTATCTGTGCATACTTTGTGGGAAACAATATGAGACCATGGACGATAAATTTTGGTATATGAGGGCTGTCACTAGTCACACATAAAATTTCGGAGCATATCGACCACCACCTGCACAGATAGTTGTTTTAGCTACTGTACATGGGATATACCTGTCATCATTATTATTCAAATCTAGAAGAAAAAGGTCATGAAGAGCCAGGCCCGATACTAGCATTTTAATAAGTCGTCTTTGGCAAAGGTTATAAAGTAAAGACTCAATTTCTCCAGAATACTGCTGCGTGCAATGTGGGACATCATATATAGTTAAATTATTTAGGATTAGAACACAAACTGAGTGATATATGCACATACCCTACACAGATGATATGAAATATATATACTGTACACAGGTGAACAAATGTGATCCATAACCTAACCTAAGTCAAACCAATAAACAAGGTGATGTCCTGGTGCTAAACAAAGGGGGTGCTATTGATGTCCTGGTGCTAAACAAGGGGTGCTATTGATGTCCTGGTGCTAAACAAGGGGGTGCTATTGATGTCCTGGTGCTAAACAAGGGGTGCTATTGATGTCCTGGTGCTAAACAAGGGGTGCTATTGATGTCCTGGTGCTAAACAAGGGGGGTGCTATTGATGTCCTGGTGCTAAACAAGGGGGTACTATTGATGTCTTAGTAACTGATCTAGTGTTGAATAGGGGATGTCATGAACTTATCAATTAGACAAGGGAAATAAAATCCACCTTATACATAACAAGCACCAATAGTTTCACAACACCATACTGTAATGTATCCGTCTGAGGATTAATGTCAACACAACACAACACAATCTTGTGGTGTTCTGCAAGGTACCGACACAAACACACATTTCTAGGTATTAAAACAAAGTGTGGACAATAATTGAGAAGGTGTATTAAAACTAAATGAAAAATTATCTTCTCCCATTGTAATAGTCACCATTATTGTATCCTGATAAGGTTCCAGATGCCCTTACCTCACTCACAAGTTCTCTGCTCTTTCCTTAAAAACCTTTAGCTGTGTGGTTCATTCCCTCAAAGGTTCTGCAGCAAAGGGAAAGCAAAGCTATGAAAGGGTGTTAAGTCAAAGCTTCTATACTGGTGTTGTCCTGTATGCCAAGGAAGAAACACTCTACTGCAACACATAACTATACTGTACACCAAATAAACTCACCACAATATTTAGTTTATACAGTGTAAACATTTCAACAAAACTAAAAGTTAATTCCTTATATTTACAGTCTCATACAGTACTGTGAAGCGAGAGATAAAAACTTTATTCATTGGCATACTGACTCCAGGGCACGAGTGCAATAACGAAAGACCAAATTCTAGTATATCCCGATACTAAAGTGATACACAGTGTTTCCAATTATATATGAATTTCCTTACAAAAGTCAGCTGAGTATTTTGACCATTAAAGCCAGTTAAAGGTACAGTATTGGGATATATCTAAACCCAGCCTCTGAACATGAATGTAAACAAGCCACCTTTGAAGTCCATTACTGTACAGGCAGCAGATATTTCCAATAATTCCAGGTCTCTTGGGATTTGGCGAATGTACAAGGAGAAGTGAGAAGAGTAGCGGCGTGAGAGAGTTACGTAGACTTAGTAATACCCACTACGATGCTGATGCAGGGCCTGTTGTAGAAATGTCATGGCTTAGACCAAGAGTCCCAGCCACAAGGAAATGTAAAACTACCAACATCAACAATATTTTAAAGCTAAAAAGTCAATAACAAATTTGTTTCTATTAATTACATAAATTAATGAACAAATACTGTATAGTAAAAACTATTAACATGTGTGTGTGTGTGTGTGTGTGTGTGTGTGTGTGTGTGTGTGTGTGTGTGTGTGTGAGAGCACTGAGCATGCATATCCAAGTCCATAAACTAAATATCTAATATTTCTTTAAAATAATTGTTTACAGCCATAACCATCAGCAATGTATCAAACAGTTGTCTTTTACCTATAAGCACGTATTAGTGCCTATTTAAGTCATCTATTAAGAAGTTTGGTAATTTTAGGGTTTACTGTTACCACACAACAGCACAGAGTAACACAATTTATTATGATGACCTGACAATAAATAGCTAATGAATAGTTTTTATTTTAATTTATAAAACATTATTTCTTTGATTTTTATTTCACAACTCTGTACAGGGTATTAAAATAAAATGTTAAGAAATAACATCAGCTGGGGTGGGCAATGTTATGTACAGTACAGTACTGTACTGTACAGTATAGTCTCGATTTATGCGGAATTGGTTTACGCGCTTGGTCATTTACGCGGCACCTTGCCAGACTGACAATTTTTATTTACATGGTTCATTCAATCATTTACACAGGAAGCGGCGCGGGCAGGGTACGCACAAGGTCGCCCAGCCAACAAAACATTACCGAGTTCTTCACCCGCCGCCCACCACAGCTAGCCCAAGTCAGTGATAGTGAGGATATGGACTTTGAGGGGTTTGACAAAGAGGCCCTGCAAGCCTCTGTGGTGGATAGTGATACAATTGATACAAGTGATACAGGTAAGGGCCAATAATCTGCCCTCTGCCTCGGAACCAACCCCCCATCCCCGTGTGCCCAGCCATCTTTTCCACTAAGGTAAGTGTTAAAAAAACAAATATTATTGATATTTCTCTTAAATATTGATTGTGTGTGCATACCACCATAAAATTAAGATGTTATTTTTACTTCAACGTACTATTGTGTCGGAAAAAGTGTAGTTTAGGGGTCGGCCCAGTCATTATTTCAATTAATCCCATATGTTCTGTTATTTCGTTTACGCGTTTCTCGTTTTACGCGGACCTCCACGGGTTCAATTGACCGCGTAAATGAAGACTATATTGTATAGCATTGTGTTTGTTTACTTTGTACTACAGGTACATGACATGAATCAACCATACCAAACTTAAACAACTTATATTATGTTTGGAATGATTTAGCTGTTTTGTTTTGTTCCATATATCTGAGCTAAATAAAGATCTGCCAATATAGTAGCCAACATCACCCAGTCCAGCTCATGTTGAAATTTTCAGAAGTCTCACTAGTGGTCAACTATACCCAAAAAAGAAAAGATTAATTTTTGTAAAAAACAAAACGTGTTCATTAGAAGGGGAATTTCATGTCAAATGCAATAACCTTATTAAAGAGCTGCAACAAGTTTGATAAATAGATACAGTAGTACAGTACAGTATATCAATTATCCAGCAACTTGAGATAATAAATTGTTAATTAAAGAAACAAGTGAAATACGAGTAATTGTGAAAATAAAAGCAGCATTTATAAAAAAGAAATTACCAGTAATATATTGGAGTATGTATTGTAGTGTGGCGACACAAATTAACACTAGTTTATTGGCAGTTGTGTAGCTCCACCATGAGCCTATACTGTATGTGAGGTGGTGAAGTGGCAGCTGTCACCAACAATTTGCCACATGAACAAGACTTAGGCAATTGATTAAAATAATTCATAACTGTAAATTTGGTGTCTCTTATGTTTTCCACTTATCATTACCTTAGTCTGAATCATTTTCACTCATAGTAAAACTTTAATATCTGCTGCTTATTAGCCTTCAGAGGATAGTTAAAGGTTATTGTAATTCCATATTCATACAGGAGTCTGTTTGGTCTCTCACCTGTGGTCTGTCACCCTAATATTTCTGTTGTACTGTTCACTGTTAATGTAACTCTTTTATTATAGTAAGTAGACAAACCTTGCACCAATTTTTTTTTCTGACATCACATGTAACAAAGGTGTTGGTATAGTCAGACAACTGGCACAAAATTAAAATATTTTTGTTCATTGAAAATGGTGAAAGTTTGGAGACCCAAATAATAGATATACTGCACTGTACTGTACTGTACAGTATTACCAAACGAACCAAAATGAAACCAATTTCTTGAAAAGTTCTACAAGAAATCAAATCAAAATATGAAAATCTTAGTGATGTTGATTCAAAAGTGTTTTACACAACAACAAAGTGATGCTAAAGTTATCAGAGTCTGTAGTGAATATACAGTACTTGTCCATGGAAACTGAAATTATTGAACAGAAACAAAACCATTAAGGCACAAACAAATGGGGTCAGAGAAGTTTAGAAATCACCATTATGAAAATCATAATACGTACTGTACATTGCATTCAGCTTTGTTCACCAAAAAAACAAAATATTAGTTATACAAAAATGAAAGTTAATATTGTATGGCAGTGAGAAATGTTATGACTGTTGGCAGCTTCAAGAGGCATAACTCTACATTAGTAATCACATTACTCTCAAACCTAAACTAGTCCTGTATTTTGATTGGAAGTTTTATTCACACAAAATAAGAGTCAAAGGAAATTATCTCTATGAAAGATTAACAGAAGGAAGTTAACTTAATGGAAGTTAAATACATGTATTGTGTAAGTCTTTTTAGTAGGTACTGTACTGTATTATACTGTACCAAGAAAGGAACTACTGTATTGAATGTACCACTTAAAGAACTCCTCAGTTAGTAAAGAGATGACAGATGTTCCTGGACAGTTTCTGGGGCACAGCTTTAACAGTGGGTAGTGTTAACTCTTAAAACTGAACTTGCCTTATACTGTGTGAAGTTACAGTTACAAAACGAAAAGATAAGACATTTTAACAAAGGTAAACTTAACGCACTGAATGAAAACAGAAATTTCAACAAATGATATGAGAGAATAAGGAAAATTATCAAGCTATAACATGCCCCACAAAAAATGCACCAATACTGTTGAGGAATAACTTCATGTAGGAGTTTTATATGACTCCAGATTAAAGGAACACACGCTCCAAAAGGTACAGTATATCTTTACGGAGGGCCCTGACGACTTTCAAAATGAGCACTGTGACTCCTGTTATCTCGGTAGGGTCGCCAAAATTCTTCATCCATTGTGTCATATTGTCTAACACAAAATCGTAAAGATACTTTCTGGAGCGAGTGTAAAAGAATCTAAGAAAAACAAAAGCTTCACGGGATATTATGAACTCCACTACTCGGACAGTTTATGTTTCTTGACTTGTTATCATTCAATGTTTCTGTGTGTAATTGTGTGTGTGTTTTTTACAGTTTAAGACCGCTTTAATTCAATGCAATTTACCGCCACAAGTACTGTACTGAATTATCAAATCCACAGGACCCGCAATGGGCCCTTTCTGTAATATACATACTGTACTCAACAATTTAGATTTACAAAGTTTTATTTCCAATATTATATGTACTGTAAATATTACAAACTCCTTTATATTCTTTAAAAGCATTTGAATCCTTGCCCCCCATCCCCAAAGGAAAAAAAAAAATCATGGTTTCACTATGAATCTGAGATTTAGTCAAACAATATGTACAGTACCTGCAAACAGACCAAGAGTGAAAGGCTTCAACAGATAGAGTTTACCATATATGAAAGTACTGTACGTATACTGTATTGAATTAAAGGGTTTTTTCACTATATATGGCACAAAATGGAGTGATTAGTGAGCATTATCTCCAAACACACAATATATTAGAACAATTAAACTATAACAAAACTGATTTACTTGGATTGCAAAGAAGCTGTCATACTGATACTACACTGAAGTTGCTACGATATTGTGGAGATATTACTGAAAAAAATACAAATATAAATAGATAAGTTCTTATACAGTACAGGATAATGTATTATATACCTACTGTAATAAAATTAATCAAGTATCAACAAATTCTTTTCATTTAAATACACTCTAGCATCACCTTACAGGAGACACCTCAAAAGAATTAATTGATATCCTCTTTCACCGCCCACTAAACCTAACTTCTGGAGGCATTATCTCGGTGTAAAAAAGAAAGAAGTAAATGTCTTGGTGTGTAGCAATTGCCTGAGGGTTGTTAATACATTGTAAAGTAGTTCAACTTTGCTACAGCCTGAAAATCCCATCTTTCCCAATTTCTGAAAAAAATGTAACATTTTCATAATTTTTAGAAGTATGGAAATCCTTGAGTGTGTCCATCTTGTCACTAACAATAGTATATGACTACTAAGAAATACTGAAGTGACTTGTATGAAGTTTACTAAAATGTTCATAGTCCATCAGAGCATCTTACTTTAGAGTACTACAGTAACTTAATACAGTAAAGTAAAGTATAGTATACTTCTTATTTCACAAACTTAAGGGATATCCCATGGTGAAATGAATTAGGAAAACAAAGACCATTCAAGAATATATAACAAACATCCTCACATTGCAATTAATAGCTTCTATGAGCAAGGGTTCCAGCTTCACACTATGCAAGCCTCTTTTATAGCCTTTTGTTATAGCTTTTGCTGAATCTCTGTGGGTGACACTTCCATCTTCATAACAAAGGCAAGAATCTTACCATGAACAATCTGCAACTCGTTTCCTACAGGCACAACAATACACATTAAAATAGGACGTGATTTTTGTTCTACTCGTTAAGTGAAAACCGAAACTTGAAACAATTAACGATGAAATATAAACATACGAAGAACTCAAAAAACAAAATAATGTTAGAGATACAAAAAATAGGTTTGATAATTTGTTTGTAGGAAGACAGTTTGATATCCAATGATTGATGAGAATGGATCAGATGACCTGGCGATCAGATGACAAAAGAAGATGGATAAAAATAAATAAATAAAAAATGACTGGGTTTATAATAAAATGATATACAGTACAGTACTACAGTATATGAGAGGGTGGAGTTATGGTAGGTAGCAGCATTTGCAAAACCATAACATTAATAATAAAAAATAGAGAAATATTTAGTTATATTTTAAAGATTGGTATGCATTATATTTTTTTCTATAATTCACTATTGAAAGAAGAGTCAATGGAAAATAAAAATGTTATTGAACATGAGCTTTTTCAAACAGCATTTATTGATAATGAAATAAATCCCCATATTTTTTTTTAAGAAGTTCATTCCCTGAGTTTTATTTAAGGAATACTGGTACTGTATTGTATGGAAGCTTGTAATATGAGATGAATAATACAGTAGAGAACATTAAAACAAAAATAAAACAAAAACAAGGGATTGATTTTGATGATCTATTTCAGAAACTGATGTTTGGTTGAATCATGTATCGTGGGTAAGGTCCCAATCCAGTACTGTACTCTGAATAGGGACTGGAACTAATCCCCAAATTAGTTTATTTTATGCCATCAAACTTGGGTCTCAATAGAGCAAAGATGTGATGTACAGATACAAAATATACCACAGACAGTTGAAGGCTGTAAGTCTTTGCTGCCACTATAACACATGTGCTAATTCAAAAAAGGCAAATTGAACACCTTGAAAGACCAGGGCACAGAATAAACTAGTGTCCCCAAAGCTGTTTCTCCTTCCTCAAGAACCTGAATTGTTTGAACTTAAAATGTACATGCTAAGAGAGAGCTTTCCAAAGAGAGGAATTGTCATGAGCCTCTTCCAGGTACAGCAGTTACACTTCCTCGATACATAGATCACTTTTACTGCACCATTATTAGAGACTAGATGATCAATGGCCACCACTCTCAGAGCATCATCTGCATTGACAATCTTGAGAGGGACATATGATAACACTCGACCCATCACTATAACATTACGTACTGCATAATGACAAAGGGTATACCTCAGCATCAGTGGCTGCAACAAGATCATGGGTATGGGAAAAGAATAAACTAGTTATCATAAGAAGCCAATTTGAGGGAGAACCTGGAGTTCCTTAATCTCCTATATGGAAGTGATCCAATATGAATCCTCATTTTGAGCTAAGATAACAGGAGACTCCTGCATGGAAGACCCTGATCTCTCATAATTCATGATAATTTTATCCAATTCGCTACTATACTACTTCCTTGAGTTTCAAGTTTAGAATCCATTCACTACCATCATGGATGAGGCTACTCCTTCTAAAAAATAAAATAAAATAAAAAACAGAGTGAATATAACTATGAATAATACAGTACTGTACTATGAAGTACTTGTGTATGCAAAATGTGAATGAGTTGATTGTTCTCACTGAATAAGTCATTTCAGATTGAGCTGGGTATTAGATCACCTGAAAGGTTCCATTATACTGTAATCTATTCTAATACAGTAACAAACATAAATACAGTGGGGTATGCTATAACGAACGGATCCTACTACGAATATTCCTATAACGAACGGTTTTACCTATAAAATTGAGAATGCTATAACGAACGCAACTCCTACAACGAACGCGGATGAATACCGGACTATTTCGCCTGGCGCATGAATATTGTTGTACCGCGACCCACAACAAGAGCGTCAGGCGCCATCTTTGTCTCATTGTGTAGCCAGTGCACCACTGTTATTGTTGAAATTTCGTCTTTTGATGTGGAAATTCGCGTTATTTGTATAACTATTTTGTTATACAAGTATACAATTGTAACAATGAGTCGTCCAAAGCGAGTGAGAAAGCTAATAACCCTTGAAACTAAGAAAGAAATTATAAAGAAACGTGAGAATGGAAGAAGCATTGCGAAACTTAGTGATGAATATGGGATGGCTAAATCGACTATATGTACGATTTTGAAGAATAAAGAGGAGTTAAAAACTGTGCAAGTGGCTAAGGGAATCTTTAGACTTAGTAAAGCAAGGTGTAATGTGATTGAAGAGATGGAAAATTTACTCTTAGTGTGGATAAAGGAGAAAGAAATGGCAGGTGGTAACATTAGTGAAGCTATAATTTGTGAGAAGGCCAGACAATTGTTTGAGGACCTTAAAGCCAAGACTCTCAGTGGAAGTGATAGTGATGTGCCAGTGTTTAGGGGTACCTGCATGCTGAATAACACTAAGGTAAGATAAAGTACCGTATTTTTTACATTTTCCACAGAATTTTTTCAGTGTTAAGCGGTTGTATTTGGGGGCCTGGAACGGATTAATCCTATAACGAACGAATGCTATAACGAACGAGGTTCTGGAACCAATTACGTTCGTTGTAGCATACCCCACTGTAAGCACATAAGACCACTCAAAAGTGAATACTGTACCACTGTATGTATAAAACTGATTGCTTCAAGGTGAGATATTCTGTGAGCCCCTAACTGATATTCAAATAAGAAAATTTTACTCTACTTCACAGTTCACACTTCAGTGTCCTATGATGAACCTTAGGCTGGCCATCCACATCTAGAGTGAACTTTATCATACAACAAGCTCAGTTTTGCACCATAGTTAGGCCACGTCACCGAGTAGTGAAGGTCCCACATTCCACTGGGCTAATAATCAAATGTAAGTACTGTACTGTACTGTACTGTACAGTACTATTACAAAGTGGGAGAAACACACCAATACCAACACAGTTTAGTTGTGAGAGAAACACACCTACCACTAACCCCTTCACTACAGGGATGCCTCTTTTAATATTTCATTTGACTAATGGCAGACAATTTTATTCAGCTGAGGCAACACCGTACACATGGGATTAATACCAACACATAGGCTAAGGCGATTGCAATCAAACCCCCAAAAAGTGCTGAAAGAAATTGAGAGGTAACATCTAGCTTCCAACTGAGAAAAAAATTTATGTCAGAAGCATCTACTCTCTTTGCTCAGAGGGCTGTGAGTAAGGTGACAAACTTGGGAGTGGTGCTTTGTAGCTGATCCAAATGAAGATCACAGAGAGCAAGTGTTAGTGGTGGTGGCAAAGACTCACTTTATTCTCATCATCACTGAGCAGTCTCTTAATCTTTAATTCTAACTCCTGTATCTATCTAGTTTCTTTTTAGAGACTCAGGTTTGAATGGAAGGTGTAATTTAATTTATGGATTAGTTCGATAAGTCTGCCTGAATACACATGAGCTGCCCAAGCCTGACATCAGGTTATGAAAATTTACTCTGTATCCATTTGTCTCTTATGGTTTATTGTAGGAGCTTATCTCAATTATAATAAAGCTGATTTCCTGGCATGGATACCTGTATGTACTCAAATGACTGACAAAATACTAATGATAACTGTACAGTACTGGAGATACACTTTAGTTATTCTTTCCTGCAAATTCCATGTTAAAATATTGATACTGTATATCTTGTGTGTGGTTCGTAGTGCTCAAATCACCAGTCATAATAAAAATAATAATAATAATAATGATGATGGTAATAATAATAATAGTAAATAATAAATAATAATATTAATAGTAAATAATAATAATAATAATACTAATAATAGTACAGTAATGATAACCAAATATAATAATAATAAAAATAATATTACGGAAACATTAATTTTAGAACTGAGAAGAAGAAAAAACTGTCTAAAATATATTCTCTTCATATCTAGTTAAGGCAACACCTGTATGATACTATCCCAGCATAGGAACTACAGTACTGTGCATGTATACACACCTAAGTGAAGTGCTTTATCTCACCAACATTACTGTACCTATACTATCCTATCTATTATTAAGGGATCTATTTTAAGATACTGTCTTCATGGGAGATGTTCTAGAGTACTGGACTGTATCTATTATCATATCTAGGTTAAAGCACCACCTCTATGATACTCACACCATCCTTAAATTAAGTGCACCATTCACTACTATATCTTTTAGGATATTGCCATCGTTAGCCAATTACTGTACTGTACTGTATATGGGTTAAA